AGGACTGTTTGAGGCATATGATAGCTATGTGATTAACATGATGATTCAGCCTCTATGGAGAGAGACATCAAGCATGCTCATTTCTGACGTGGAGCTAATCTGAAGTAAACATTGAATACTGCTTTCTATTCCTCCATCTTGTGACTGTGTAACTCCCTCTCTTGGATATCAGCATGTGAAGGACACTGTTCAGGAACTAGTTGATGCTCTGTATGTGATGACTCCTTCCATTCTGGAGAGGATCACAGATACATGGATCCTGAGATTGAAGCTCACGCCGGGGACCAGTGAGAGTTCTCTAACAGTAGAACAAGAAATCAGGAAGACTGATTTAATAACTGACACTGTGTGAGCTCAGCGTTTGTGAAAAATGGTTCTAAACCAGTGCTTTTTGAGAAAACGTCAGGATTTTGAGAAAAAGTCTGAATTTTGAGAGAAAGTCTGAATTTTGAGATTTTGAAAAAAAAGTCCGTATTTTTGAGAAAAAGACAGAATTTTTAGATTTGGAGAAAAAGACAGAATTTGGAGATTTGTAGAAAAAGTCCGAATTTTGAGATTTTGAGAAAAAGTCTGAATTTTGAGATTTTGAAAAAAAAAGTCCGTATTTTTGAGAAAACGTCAGAATTTTAAGATTTTGAGAAAAAGTCCGAATTTTGAGAGAAAGTCTGAATTTTGAGAAGAATACCTACTTTTGTGATTTTGTAGAAAATGTCAGGATATTAACCTTCATGAGATTATGAAAACTTTCAGACATTTCTAAGACATGTTTCACATCTGTAATCTTAAAGTAACTGAAGCGGGGGAGACGCCTGGACACGTCTACGAGCAGCAAACTCTTTTGGCGTGTGGTGCAGTGGGTAGTGCGTTGGTGTTGGGATCAGGGGGTCTCAGGTTCAAACCCCACTGCAGTCAGCATGTCGTTGTGTCCCTGAGACACTTCACCCCAAAGGGCTCCTGTGGGCATTGTCCACAGTGTTGAGTATGTGAGTCGCTTTGGATAAAAGCGTCTAACAAGTGATGTGATGCGATTACATATTTTAATCGACTGACAGCCCTAATAAAAACACAGAGTGGGAATATCAAGATGAGATACAGATGAGTGTTGCTCCACAGTAGTTTGTGTTATTTTGTTTTCATTGCTCTCACACATTGTGTTTTCTGAATGCGTCCTCAGGCTGAGGAGAGGGTCCTGAAGAGGGTTCGGAGAAAGATCCGGAACAAGCAGTCGGCTCAGGACAGCCGGCGGAGGAGGAAGGATTACATCGACGGGCTGGAGAGCAGGTACCCAGACATCCATTTATTCATACATCTCCGTTCTGATACACCGGGGACAGGACCGGGGGGCCAACAGTGTCAGGGGCCCCACGAGGTGTCGCTCCACTGGGACCGGGTTCAAATGAAAACAAAGAGACGCAATGATGGAAACAATCACCTCCTAAAATCTGCACAGCGCTCCACTTTCAAGATTCAAGGTTCAAGGCTTTTATTGTCATGTGTCAGAGCTACAGTGTAGATATGGCAATGATACATCTGAGGTCACAGGCTCCTCTCACAGAGCAACCACAGGCTCCTCCCACGGAGCAACTACAGGCTCCTCCCACTAAGCAACCACAGGCTCCTCCCACAGAGCAACCACAGGCTCCTCCCACAGAGCAACCACAGGCTCCTCCCACAGAGCAACACAATCACACAATCACACAATCACGCAATCACACAATCACAGTGCAAGTAAATCCCCTCTTCTTCATGTCTCTTCTACATCAACATGTGTCCCCTCTTCTTCATGTCTCTTCTACATCAACATGTGTCCCCTCTTCTTCATGTCTCTTCTACATCAACATGTGTCCTCTCTTCTTCATGTCTCTTCTACATCAACATGTGTCCCCTCTTCTTCATGTCTCTTCTACATCAACATGTGTCCCCTCTTCTTCATGTCTCTTCCACATCAACATGTGTCCCTCTTCTTCATGTCTCTTCTACATCTACATCAATGTGTCCTCTTCTACATCAACATGTGTCCCCTCTTCTCATGTCTCTTCTACATCAAACATGTGTCCCCTCTTCTACATGTCTCTTCTACATCAACATGTGTCCCCTCTTCTTCATGTCTCTTCTACATCAACATGTGTCCCCTCTTCTTCATGTCTCTTCTACATCAACATGTGTCCCCTCTTCTTCATGTCTCTTCTACATCAACATGTGTCCCCTCTTCTTCATGTCTCTTCTACATCAACATGTGTCCCCTCTTCTTCATGTCTCTTCTACATCAACATGTGTCCCCTCTTCTTCATGTCTCTTCTACATCAACATGTGTCCCCTCTTCTTCATGTCTCTTCTTCATCAACATGTGTCCCCTCTTCTTCATGTCTCTTCTACATCAACATGTGTCCCCTCATCTTCATGTCTCTTCTACATCAACATGTGTCCCCTCTGTGGAAAGAGACTCTGAAAGTTTCAGGAACAAAGATTCTCTCTCTTTTTGATCCATTTCTATAAAAACCTGTCTGAAAATGAGCTGATCAGATTTTGGCCCACTTGATGATGTCATCACGATGTTTTGTCTTGTGTAACCATTAGCCAATCAGCAACTAAGGTAACCCCCCCCCCCCCCCCCCCCCTTATCACCTGAATCTCCTCCTAGAGCACCATTGAGTTCTTTGTAACCAAATCTCTCTAATGCGGCTTTCACACCAGCGCTTTTCCCTTTCTAGCTCCGAGCTAGAGCTTTTCTGGTTCAGCTCCGTTTTCCCTTTTCTGCTCCCGCTCTGTTCACACCGCCCAGCACCCGACTGGTGCTGCCGCTGCTGCGTCATGACGTCATCGTTTACATCGCTAATTTGCTCCCCAACGGCGTTACGGCGCTCACAACAACAACAACAACAACGGGGAACTGCGTCGGGTCGATGATCGTGTTGCTTTTAATCACACGAAGCCAGATTAAATTAAATAACGACTTCTCCAACCTTATACTTTGCTCCAGAGTGCCGTGGTTCATTGTTTATTAATGTGTTTCTGCAGCATTTACCGACCGCTGCAGTGTTGGCTGCTCTTCCACGGGAGTTTATTCTCCCGTTATCTCCCGGTTAGCTCACACTGCAGTGGCCGCTCTAAAGTATTCACTGTCCGACTCACACAAGCAGCTGATACATATCCCCAGTTTCCCTTAAGTGAATGTGTGTCAGTCTGAATTGACGCTGTTTGGCATCACAACGCTGTTATGAAAGTTTCTCTGGTATAAAATGGGTGATGTTAGCATAGCAACCGAAGCTAAACTGACTACTTGCTATTGCTATCCTATTGTGGCATAAACCGTTTTCTACAGGCACATTTTACCGGCGTATTTTTATAATGATTCTACTTGTGATAGTCGGACACGACAACCTGTGCAGCCCATGTATTGATTCCATCCGATAGCTGCTATAATACAAAACAACACGTCTGCCTCTCTCCACAATGATCAATAACAGTGAACGGATGGTCAAAGTAAGGTACAAATAAACAGAATCACACGAAGCCTGGTTAGTGTTGCCTGACTTTATAAAGTGTGTTTATAAGCACTACTGCTTGTAGGCAGGCATGACAGTCGACCCATGTTCAGGGGAGGTGGGTTTAGTTTCCTGCACGCCTCGACGTAACGGCCCGTCCACACAGCAGCTTTTGGCGATTTGTCCACCGCTTCCAGCGCGTCTCCGCCCATTGACTTTGAATGGGGATGACGTCACTTTCCCTCGCTTGTCGCCGAACTGCATTGTGGGGGGGCGAGGCGAAGATTTCCAGGATTTCCAGGATGTTCAGGATTCCAAAGTTGAACAATGTTCAACTTTTGAGGCTGAGCTGGAAGCGACAGCCAATCAGATCCGTTTATGCAAATCTGACAGTTCAAGCGCTAGCCAATCAAACCGCGTGCAAGCTGGGAGAACGAGACCCGCAGTTCATTTCTATATTCCACAAAAATGGAGGAGAAGTTAGTTATTGCGGTAGCAAATCACCCGGTTCTTTATGACCAGTCCCTATTTACTTACCGGGATACAAACCGGAGGAGCGAGGCATGGAGGGAGGTGGCAGAGACAGTGGGTGAAACTGGTAGGTTTTCACTTGTTTGGGGATTTTATATCCAGTTTACTTCGTTGCTATCAAGCATAGACAGTATCATTAGCCAGCATGGAATGTAGCATAAAATAGCACCATAGACATTAATCTCATAAATGTTCAAAATGTTAAAAGAAATAGTGGAGAAGAACCGGGTTTTTTTGCTTTGTATGTCGGCGGCGGGAGATTCATGTGATTGGTTGTTGGTCGCGAAATCCCCAAGCTTTCAGACACGCCCAGCTCCAAGATTTTCAAGATTTTTGAAAAGCTGCTGTGTGGACGTACCGTAAGAGAGACGTAAGCGACGCCACCTCTTAGCTCCGAAGCTCTTGCCTCTAGACCGACAATTTTTTGGAGCTGGAAGTGAACCGGATTCCGGAGCTAAGAGCCGGCACCACTGCGGTGTGAACAGGAAAAACCGGCACTTTTCAGGCTCCAGCTCCGAGCCGGAGCTGAAAAAGCGCTGGTGTGAAAGGGGCATCAGAGGGGCGTGGGGAGGGGCTCCTTATTTTCATCTAAAGTAACAGACAGAGAATCAGCACTTTGGAAACGGCTGAAACAGAGGGGATTATGGGTAATGCTGCCATGATCTGTTTGCATGAAAGGAGCTCTACAGATAAAGTAATAAGGTGTGTATTATCTGTGTGTTGTAAAGGGCAGCAGCGTGCTCGGCGCAGAACAAGGAGCTGCAGCGCACCGTGGGTCAGCTGGAGAAACACAACATGTACGACCGCTCTTCTTCTTATTTATCACCGTCTACTTTATTAAACTTTATTTCTGATAAAGCTGATTTTCTGCTCAGGTCTCTGCTGGCTCACCTGCAGCAGCTCCAGTCTCTCATCAAACACACCGTGAGCCGGGGAGCCCAGACCAGCACCTGCCTACTGGTGTGTGTGTGTGTGTGTGTGTGTGTGTGTGTGTGTGTGTGTGTGTGTGTGTGTGTGTGTGTGTGTGTGTGTGTGGTGTGTGTGTGTGTGTGTGTGTGTGTGTGTGTGTGTGTGTGTGTGTGTGTGTGTGTGTGTGTGTGTGTGTGTGTGTGTGTGTGTGTGTGTGTGTGTGTGTGTGTGTGTGTGTGTGTGGTGTGTGTGTGGTGTGTGTGTGTGTGTCTGTGTGTGTGTGTGTGTGTGTGTGTGTGTGTGTGGTGTGTGTGTGTGTGTGTGTGTGTGTGTGTGTGTGTGTGTGTGTGTGTGTGTGTGTGTGTGTGTGTGTGTGTCCTAGCATTACTATACTTGTGGGGACATACATCTGTTTACACAGTCACGTGTGGGGAGGTCCCCATGAGGGGCATCATTAATTTTAGGGTGAAGACTTGGTTAAGGGTAAGTCTCCAGGAAATGCATGTAAGTCAATGTAATGTCCCCTGAAGTGGTGTGTATGTGTGTGTGTGTGTGTGTCTGTGTGTGTGTGTTGCCACTGATATCCATAGATCCTGGAAACTAATCCAGTGTGTGTGTGTGTGTGTGTGTGTGTGTGTGTGTGTGTGTGTTGCCACTGATATCCATAGATCCTGGAAACTAATCCAGTGTGTCTGTGTTGTCTGTCGCCAACGACAATGAAAATTAAGTGGTGAACAGTTTTTTTTGTATGCTTTCAAACAGTAAAATAAGTGCTCATATGAACAGTGTTTGTTGCATGGCGTGCAGCTGAATCTGAGGCATTATGGGTATTTAATTAAAAAAAAATGTCTTGCATAATAAGGTGTCCTTTTCTCCATGACTTCCTTTTGTCGTAGATGGCTTACCTGGCTCATACCGGACATTAAAGACATTCAAAGTTTATTTCTCTACAGCCCAATATCACACATGTGAGATAAAGTTTGTGTGTATGTGTGTGTGTGTGTGTGTGTCTACAGATCATCCTGGTGTCTCTGGGTCTGATCATCCTGCCGAGTTTCAGTCCGTTCAGCCGAAACTCTTCTTCAGACGACGACTACAGGCCGACTGGAGGTCAGTGAGCTTTGTATATGGGCTCAGAACAGTCTCATAATACACACATGCACACAGAAGGAACTTGTATTTCCGGATCCACAGTTTTTCAATGCACACACAAAGGTGTTCCGTTTTGTTGGGGAAACATTTACTTTGACCCAGTTTATCAGTGTGTCCTGACTGAGCACACACCTGTAACCTTGGCTGCTGTGCTCTCAGTGTTCTGTCTCCCTGTTCCTGCCTGTTGGCGTCAGCTGATAGAGGTGTTATCATTCTATCTTGTGATACAGCATGTTGATTATTCTCTCTGAACTAAACACACGGGTCTGGAGTAGAGATCTTCAGAATTGGTTTGGCTTCTCTACCGTGTGGTCAGATCGTGGCCCGAAGCTCCAAATAAACCGTCAGTGTTTGCCATCAAACCTCCCGCTCTCCTCGTGTCTCTCTGAGTCCTGTTTCCAATCGCTTCAGAAGTTTCCCCCACACGTTTCATAAACATGTAAATAAAATCCAAATACAGAAAAAAGTTTAACATATGTATTTTTGATCCACACATATTTGTTTCCCGTTTAAAACCTCTGCACCTGCAAACACAACCCGCTTCCTGTGCACGGGTCGCTGTGCATTCGTGTGTGGGTTTTTTGAGACTCCCCTCATGTACGCATGTTGCGCTGTCCGGAGCTGACAGGTCCATGGTCCTGCCTGCAGGCGCTAATCTCAGGACTGATAAGGAAGTGTGTGTTATATGAGATGGCAGCGAGGTTTCAGCTCCGATTATTAAATCAAAGAGGCTTAATGTTTTCTATTATATTATTTCACTATAGCTATGTGGACGGTGTCAAGGTCCAATGTTGACCAACATTATCAATAGCGGGTGTAACTAAAATACAAGATGTCTTTATTTATTTATATATAATAACAATAATGATAATAATAATAGAAAAGATTGCATTAGCGTGCATTTCCTGTTCGGAAAGTGGCGATTTTATTTTGTGATTATATAATACTTGTAATAATGGTGCGTTCACACCGGAAAACTCGCCTCATTCATCTGAGTCAGCTTCTTGAGCCGTATCTGGCCGTGCAACACTCACAGCGTCACATACTGTATGCAGAAGTATTATTTTAAGCAACACATTAAGTTGACGAAAGACTCGAGTCAAATGTAATTAAAGTCAGATCGTGTTTTAGACGGGGCAGTGATATCATAAAGCTGTTAATGTACGCATTCAAACACTTGTTCTGTTACCAGCTGTATTCACCTTGCAGGTGCAGCTCTGTGGCTTTGATCCTGGATAAAGTGTTTAAGTCATGGATGTTTAAAGTTTAACTTCTTCATATGTCTAATATTATAGTTGACTTTTCATTCAGGAAGTATGACGCTGCGCTGGCAGTACGCTTGTTCATGTTTGTGATTGGTCGAATGTTGCTAACCCCGCCCCTTTCACGTGAACGCGCACTCAACCGTAGGACCGCATAGCGAGATCGCGTTTGTTTTGGGTTAGGTAAGCCGGGTAACTCAAACAGATCCAGGGTCTGTTGAACTGGATTCGTAGTACAGGCCACTGATCGATTAGGCTAAGCTAACCTGTAGCTGCTCCCTCCACACTCACAACAACTTCATACAGACATAAATAAAGCAGCTGTATTCGCCATACAGGAAACACACATTTAAAACAGTTCTGCCGGGCCGTTTTGTGTACACAAGCATTCATCAATGGTTCGGAAAGTGGCGCTGTACCTTAATAATATAAAATATTGTATTTGCGTGCATTTCCTGTTCGGAAAGTGGCGCTGTACTGGGAGTGGAGGTGACCTGAGATTAGCTCCATGGACCTGTCAGCTCCGGACAGCGCAAAATGCGTACATGAAGCGCTACGTCATGAACGCAATAAATCATACCCTCGTGGGGGCGCGCTCATGTGATTGGCTTAGAATGGAGTATGAATCGGCTGACCGTCAGGGGAGTCTCAAAAAACCCACACAGGAATGCACAGCGATCCGTGCACAGAAAGCGGTTTGTGTTTGCAGGTGCAGAGGTTTTAAACAGAAAACAAATATGTGGATCAAAAATACATATAGCCGCTTTCACACCAAGTACTTTGCCGTACTTAGTGCCGGCACTTAGTGCCCCTATGGAACTAAGTACCAATCGCGTTCACACCGGAGTACTTTTCCCTGAGGGAAGGATTAGGCAAATGAGCCGCTGACGTCACTTCTTCTTCTTCGGCTTTGGGTTTACTGGCAGGCCGCAAACAGCTTCACGGCGTATACTGCCGCCCAAAGTCCCCGGCCAGAAGTCCCCGGAGTTGGGGACTGGCTTCAGTAGAAGCTGCTGGGAGTCCCAGCAGCTTCTACTGAAGACTTCCGAGTAAATCGCCAGAACGCCGACACCTCCTCATCTCCACCGCTCCCATGTTTTATTTTGTGTTGCCATAAGTTAGTCTCTGCGTTTCTGCGCTGGGCTAATGCTAATGCTAATGCGAGGATAATAAAATGGCGGCTTCACAAAACTTTTTGGGAGTTTTACGGGGCGTGGTTTGCAATTTGCCCAGCCAATAGTACTTTTTTGGTACCACCTCTCAGCAGGCACTAAAAATGGGGGCAAAGGTTCCCGCCACTAAGTACTCTTTTTGGTGTGAACGCGACATAACGGAACTAAACGGGAAAAGTACGGGGAAAAGTACTCCGGTGTGAACGCGCCTTATGTAAAACTTTTTTCTGTAAGTGGATTTTATTTACATGAATATGAAACGGAAGACATTTGTGTGTGCATTGAAAAAAACAAGTGTGGATCCTTCTGTGTGCATGTGTGTATTATCAGACTGTTCTGAGCCCATATTTGTATCATGCTGAACTTTCTGCCACTAGAGGTCACTGTGGGAAAACAACAGTATGTTTAGTGTGGTGGTGGAGCAGTGTGGCATCATGGGAGTTGTAGTCTTCAGCTTCAGGGTTGTTGGTTCAGGAGGTTTTCACTGTCTCCTCCTCTCCTCTGATAAAAAGCAGTAAAAACAGTGAATACAAAAGTTGCTGCTGCTAACGTTAGCTAAGCTAGTTTATCTGATTACCTAAAGACGCAGACGTGACACACAGACGTGATGAGTAAAACTGATCAAAACAAAGTAGTTTTTCAAAATCTGTGTTTCTTTGGTGCAGTTTGGTCGACACAAGACAGAGACTGCGAGCTAAAGGCTAACGTTAGCTCAGCTTGTTCCTCTGATCACTTCAGATCCAGACGTCCCATTACTAAAATACTTTATTTGTTTAAAATATTGAGTTAAAAAACACCAAGACATAACACACTTTCCCACAGGTTCAACAAATCCTTGAAAATGTGTTATTTTGAGGGAGAAATCAAGGCCTTTTGTACATTTCTGTAAATACTAAAAACTTCTATCAAAGTTCTCTTGATGTTTTAAACTAAATGTGAGAAGATAGCCTACCTTAATACAAAAACAAGAGGTTACAGTAAAACTGGCAATAAAAAACTATAAATATTAACAAAAAATGTGCAAAAAAACAGATAAAATATTTATGTACACATAAGAATTTTAATTAAAATGTGCAATTGCCTACGTGAAGCACTTGGAATGGCCTAGCGCAGGGATCACCAACTACATTTGTGCTGTGAAGTCGCCGGAGCCTCGCAGCGGGGCTACTGCTGCGGAGCGCACAAAGCAGACTCTTCACCGAAAGATCACTTCTTCTTCAGAGCAGGGAAGACTACGCAGTACGCAGTCTACTGTCCCGCAGCTGCTGCCTCTCTGTTGGACTCCGGTACTGCACATTACTCAGGAGACGCAACAACATAAATGAGTGGGGGGCGAACGCACTAACCACTCAGCCACAGTCACCCCCAAGCGGCCAGTTGATGGTCACTGGCCTAGCGTCTGAATTGTGCTACAGAAATAAAACAACTTTAAAAGGTTTAAAATAAAATGGAATAAAGATATTTAAATAAACATAAGAAGTTAAACTGTCTAATTGTTGAAATAGAATAAATAACAATACAAATTAAAGTAAACATTTTCTCATCAGACAAAATGTAACAATAAGTATGTAAAATGTGTATTGACAATTTATACAGTGGGGTATTCGTATTAATGAAGATGTTGATGCTTATGACCAGCAGATTACACACCTCCTCCACATGCGGCGTTGTGAAGTGAAATCATCTTCTTCTCTCTAGTGATTTCCAGGAACATCCTGACGGAGCACCCAGCGGAGTCCGACTCCCCGTCAGCGACCTCTGACCCCGGGGAGTCAGCCGGACCGGAGGGGCCCCGCCGTCCTCCAACAGCCAATAGAAAGCCTCGGAAACCCAGGCTCCGATGTGGCGGCTGCAGAGGGGAACCGCTCGGCGCCCGCCACCCCAGACCCTGCAAAACCTGCTCACGCTGACGAGATGTAACACGAGGCTAGAGCACCAGGCCTGGACAGTTCAGGAGGCGAATCCCCCAATCGGGGGGTCGGGGGGGTTCGCTTCCCAAAACCCTGCAGTCACCGAGCCCCGAGGAGGAGTGCATTAAGAGGGAGATTAACAACATTTTCTTAGTGGACAAACGGCGGTACTACAACTCACGTGACGTCATTTGGCCCAAAGAGACATTTTCCCATTGACTCACATTAGGAGAGAGACGTCTGCAAATCAGTGGCGATATCTTCTTTTACTAAATCAACTTCACAACACAAACACTTTTAGATCAGTTATTAGCTAGAGTCTAGCTGTCAGCTTAGTGAACCAGGAGATGTTGAGGACCCCAAAGTTTTATGATAGAAATGTAGAGTAGGGTCTCCAGCACATAGAAACTGCCGGATGCTAACCTGCAGATGTTGGGACATGTGGATAATTAGCATAAGTTGTGTCAATTAGCATTAATTTGGACAGTTTAGGAGTGGTGTTGGGGGTTATTGAAGATGCTGAATCCATTTCTGATATTTTCAGGATCAAAAGTGTCAGTTTCAACCAGAAAGTGATCATATCTGTTCTCTCTGTGGACTGATTCTGGCTACCATGAGTAGAGTTGGACCATTGGATATAGAGAGCGCAAGATGAACATTATTACCTCTGTGGACACTTTCTTATCAAATAAATGAGCAATCTGAGTCCCTTAATCTTCAGAATCGACCCAAAATTGATCAAAATCAGGCCAGAGAGAGAATTACATGCTTTGCAATATTAGTCTTTTAACCCAATCAGAGCAGACGTTGATTTAGGAACACAGGTTGAAGCTGAAAGTACATTTTGTGTAATTTTATGGATGTATTTTTAGTTTTATCAGAAGAGGTTGTTGTCACATTAATATAATATGTTTTAAAGCTCTTAAAGTAATTTGGATATTTTAAAATGGCTTTTTCTTTGTGAGAGGGATTTATTGAGTCTTATTCTGGCTGTTTTTAATTTAATTTTAACCAAAAGTCCTCGTGGATTAATGTTTGAATGTTGTTGCGTCACTAAGTGTTAAATTAATATATTTGAGTCCATTGGAATTACAGAAAAATTACAGACCTGAGAAACGTTCAGATAAAACCATGCAAAGAGGGTTTAGTATTATATGTTAACCCTGCAGTGGAGCGACTCCTCTCTAACAGCTTCGTGGTTCATGAATCGGCTCACGGGGTTAATGATTCATTCATTCTTCATTAAAAGGGAACAACGAGTCTGTCTGTGATTTATTCATTTGTTTTCTGCAACCAAACTGATTTATTAGAATTCTGTCTCTTTAAGTGCCTCGTAGAGAAGTAACTCTGATCTTGTAGTAAAAGTAGAAGTACTCTGATCTTGTAGTAAAAGTAGAAGTACTCTGATCTTGTAGTAAAAGTAGAAGTACTCTGATCTTGTAGTAAAAGTAGAAGTACTCTGATCTTGTAGTAAAAGTAGAAGTACTCTGATCTTGTATTAAAAGTAGAAGTACTCTGATGATGTACTTCAGTAAAAGTAGAAGTACTCTGATCATGTACTTCAGTAAAGTAGAAGTACTCAGTCTTGTACTTGAATTGAAGTAAAAAGTAGAAGTACTCAGATCATGTAACTTCAGTAAAAGTAGAAGTACTCTGATCATGTACTTCAGTAAAAGTAGAAGTACTCAGATCTTTGTACTTGAGTAAAAGTAGAAGTACTCATATCTTGTACTTGAGTAAAAGTACTCTGATCTTGTACTTCAGTAAAGTAGAAGTACTCAGATCTTGTACTTGAGTAAAAGTAGAAGTACTCAGATATTGTACTTGAGTAAAAGTAGAAGTACTCAGATCTTGTACTTGAGTAAAAGTAGAAGTACTCAGATCTTGTACTTGTAGTGCGGCCATCACTGCGCTCCGGACCTTCGACCGCGAGAGACAGAAGGAGTACCGCCTCCCCATTCTGATGATTGACAGCGGCTCTCCTCCAATGAGCTCCACCAGCACGCTCATGGTGGTGATTGGTGACAGGAATGACCACCCTCACTCCTCGGGTCACACCAACTTTGTCGTCTACAGTTATGAAGGTATGTTTGAGTTCGTATTGGACATTCAGCGGTCATGGATAGCAAAAGATGTTGGTATTTTGTTCTGGATTAGAGGTCAGGGTGGGTTCATTGCATTGTTAAAGAAATGATGCCCAATGATGGGTCATAATAATTCTCATTGGAGAACTGGTCAACGCTAGAGTTTTTTAACCTTATTTGGCCAATTTTTTAAGTTCCCAAATGTCCATGACCAAAGCTCTCAGAGGGTCGACACGGTTTATATTAATAATTACATTGATAATACACAGATCAATGTTGCTTTCTCTCTTTGTGCTGGACGTCCATGTGTTTTGTAACTCTGAGAATATGCAGAATATATCTATACCTGATTGAATGGACCTGTTTTATTGAAGAATAGCCAGGACCATGAAGCTCAAGTCTCTTTGCCAGCTGAAAGCTTTTAATGTGAGGAACCAACAGCGGGGAACATTGTGTTTGTATGGGCAGTGATAAGTAAAGTGGTTTCACCCGGATGGGTCATCGTACATCTGGTCTTTGTTTCCTCTCTGCTGTTCACAGCTACAGTTATTTTTCCTTGTACACCTTCATGTATCCAGGAACAGGCTTTGCAGAGTGCTCTTGCTCCTTCATTTCACACCTGAGAGCCTCAAAATCACAAATGAATCATGTGAGAAGTTGGGTAATTTTCTCATAGACTTCCATATAATTGGAAAGTCCTGCATTCAAAATGTTCCTCAAGTGAAAGTAGAAAAGTATTCTCATCAAAATATAGTTAAAGTAGCAACAGTGAAAGTAGAAGTACTCAGATCTTGTACTTGAGTAAAAGTAGAAGTACTCAGGTCTTGTACTTGAGTAAAAGTAGAAGTACTCAGGTCTTGTACTTGAGTAAAAGTAGAATTACTCAGATCTTGTACTTTAGTAAAAGTAGTAGTACTCAGATATTGTGCTTGAGTAAAAGTAGAAGTACTCAGGTATTGTACTTGAGTAAAAGTAGAAGTACTCAGGTATTGTACTTGAGTAAAAGTAGAAGTACTCAGATCTTGTCCTTGATCAGATCTTGTACTTGAGTAGTAGTAAAAGTAGAAGTACTCAGATCTTGTACTTGAGTAGAAGTAGAAGTACTCAGATCTGTACTTGAGTAAAAGTAGAAGTACTCAGATCTTGTACTTGAGTAAAAGTAGAAGTACTCAGATCTTGTACTTGAGTAAAAGTAGAAGTACTCAGATCTTGTACTTGAGTAAAAGTAGAAGTACTCAGATCTTGTACTTGAGTAAGTAAGTAGAAGTACTCAGATCTTGTACTTGAGTAAAAGTAGAAGTTCAGATCTTGTACTTGAGTAAAAGTAGAAGTACTCAGATTGTACTTGAGTAAAAGTAGAAGTACTCAGATCTTGTACTTGAGTAAAAGTAGAAGTACTCAGTCTTGTACTTGAGTAAAAGTAGAAGTACTCAGTCTTGTACTTGAGTAAAAGTAGAAGTACTCAGATCTTGTACTTGAGTAGTAAAAGTAGAAGTACTCAGATCTTGTACTTGAGTAAAAGTAGAAGTACTCAGATCTTGTACTTGAGTAAAAGTAGAAGTACTCAGATCTTGTACTTGAGTAAAAGTAGAAGTACTCAGATCTTGTACTTGAGTAAAAGTAGAAGTACTCAGTCTTGTACTTGAGTAAAAGTAGAAGTACTCAGATCTTGTACTTGAGTAAAAGTAGAAGTACTCAGATATTGTACTTGAGTAAAAGTAGAAGTACTCAGATCTGTACTTGAGTAAAAGTAGAAGTACTCAGATATTGAACTTGAGTGAAAGTAGAAGTACTCAGATCTTGTACTTGAGTAGAAGTAGAAGTAGTCAGATCTGTACTTGAGTAAAAGTAGAAGTACTCAGATATTGAACTTGAGTAAAAGTAGAAGTACTCAGATCTTGTAGTGAAAGTAGAAGTACTCAGATCTTGTACTTGAGTAAAAGTAGTAAGTACTCAGATCTTGTACTTGAGTAAAAGTAGAAGTACTCAGATCTTGTACTTGAGTAAAAGTAGAAGTACTCAGATCTTGTCTTGAGTAAAAGTAGAAGTACTCAGATCTTGTACTTGAGTAAAAGTAAGAAGTACCAGAGTGTAGGATACTCTGTTTCAGTAAAAGTCCTGCATTCAAAATGTTCCTCAAGTGAAAGTAGAAAAGTATTCTCATCAAAATATAGTGAAGTAGCGACAGTAAAAGTAGTCGTTGTGCAGATTGGTCCATTTCAGAATAATATATATGATATGTTTTATAATGATTGATCATGAAAGTGTTCTCAAAGCTGGTAAAGGCTCAGCTAGTTTGAAGGACTTTGTATACTGCAGGGTAGCTGGTGGATTTACTCTCACGGTGGAACTAAGTCTGATTTAACACTTGATTATATTTCACATCAGTAATCCAGATCTGCGAAGTAACTAAAGGTAGTATTACATGCATGTAGTGGGTAGAAGTACTCAGAATCTTGTCCTTGAGTAAAAGTAGAAGTACTCAGATCTTGTCCTTGAGTAAAAAGTACTCAGGTGTTACGGCTGCTGTCTCTGCCTGCTCGGCAGGGGCGGATCTACCGGGGTGGCATGGGGTGGCAAACTGCCACCCTAAACAATAGCCTTGCCACCCCAGCTGCCACCCCAGTTGGCATCTTTGTTTTGAAAGAAAAGTTGTGGCTCATCGGACATTTATTAGAGAAAATATCTAATGTCCGAGTGCAAGTGAATGCAGCACAAGACGCGAGTCTTGTAACCCCCTCCCCTGGCGCGAGAGTGGAAATATGATTGGTGGCGAATTCACTTGAACGGGGGGACGGCGCAAAACGAGAAGCCTTTCGGACTCAAGTAGACGGAAGGAATGAGGTGTTTGCGTTCTACAATGACAGAGAAGAGAATGTCAAGTTTGGCTGTACATCAGCAATGAATCAAAACGCACTACAGCTGTTGATCTTAATAAGTTTGTGAGGCGTTTTGCTGAACAAGATGGTAATCGCCGCCATTCAGCTGTAATAGGCATGCCAACTTGTTGCTCTGCTCACGGATGACTCGATGAGCATACAAACTGTTAAATGATGACCTTGTATGCGTGTATATATTTTTTTTCTTTGAGGGGGTCTGCCCCCAAAAAACTGTTTTAAGTCCTGAGAAAGTAAAATAAGACGGTGTGTAAAACTACACTGCCCAGCCAAAAAAAAGTAACCACTTTGATTGAACTAGGCCAGTAGGTAAGGACTTTCCACTGGATAATAACTGCAGCGATGTTTATGTTTTAGCTGAATACACGTTTTTTAAGCCTAACTGATGCAGTTAGTCACTTCTTTAATATTTGTTCTTTCTGATGTAAAGTCAAGGTTGTAACTGTATATCAATAATGATATAATTACTTGTTTTTCAAATTTGAAGGAGGGTGAGCAAGCATCTTGATGAACATTCATCATTAACTCCTCCAAAAAATATAGTTTATTCAATACTAAATGAATATGTGAATCATACCAGTTCTTCACTATATCTGTAAAGCGTCTTTGAGCACCTGTAAAAGCGCTAACAAATTAAATCTATTATTATTATTATTATTATTTATTAACAGTGATTGACAGCTGATAGGAATAATATGATTGTTAATATTATCATATTCATACAGACAAACATCGATGATCACAGTTAAATTAATGTACTTATTGCAGGCAGTCTGCATAGATTTGGTACCCCCTGCTGGTCTAAGAGTGAAACAAACTCATTCAGTTATTGTTCAGTAAAATTCATTAAATTACGTCTGCCACATTATGTGTAAAGCTTACTGATGTGCCACAATAATATCACCCTATGTCATTGAGTTAAAATATTAATATTGTGGCTTTCCAAGTTAACATTGATTGTAGGGGTGTAACGGTTCACAAACATTTCGGTTCGGTACGTACCTCGTTTTTAGGTCACGGTTCGGTTCGGTACGTTTTCGGTACAGCAGAAAAATTATCACAAAACACTAAATTATATATATATTTTTAAATTATTATTAAACTGAATAATGTATTCAAATAAATACAAAATATAATAAAATAACATTAAGGTGCAGCATTTCGATGAACTGAAATAATCTGTATTTGAACTTTACTGTACTAGTACTCACAAACATAAACTTATTAGTTTTGGGTTTTTATTATTATTAAACTGAATATTCACTCAAATAAATACAAA